TTTGTATTGATTACAAAATTGAAGTCTTCATATTTGAACTACATTAAACAAAAGTGATCAAAGTGAAAGTTTAATAGTTTCACATATTAATATAGACTTTATTATGTTGCATTGATTCATGTCTAGTCTAAATATAGATCGAAATTTCATCTATTATGACAAATGTTAAAAAAAAGATATTAATTTCTTTTGCATAAGAACTTTGAAACTGTTTTCTTAATAATAATAATATGAAAATTTCTTTATTATTATTTTCAATAGATACAACAATAACAATAAAACAATAACAATAAAAGAATATTTATGTTTGTTGAAAGAATTTAATAATAATTTAGTATAAATTTATAATAAACATTGATATACATAGTCAATTATGTTAATGAATGAATAATTGATCATTAATAGAATATTCAGATAAAAAAAACCATACGTTGAATGAGAAGATATAGAAAATTAATTATTTTCAAAGTCATACTAGTAAAGAAAACCAGTTGTAATAATTTCTCCACAACCTTGCATATGATTACGTTAATTGAAATAAAATAATACAAGGATTCGTTCCCATCGATCGTCAATTTCTCTAGCATAAAAATAAACGACTCCTTTCGCATTTACAATTAGTACTAACAATGTTTAACTACAGTTAAGTTCACTCATTATATTATATAAATTAACCAAAAACCTAAAAGCACGTTGCATGTCTCGTTGCAGTGTATTAAATAAGTTAATTGGGGTATATTTAGAATTAAAATATGTACGCTAAATGCAGAACGCACGCTTCATTTTAATGTAATTATCAATACTAAATGTGCAAGCTTGCACGTAAAAAAGATGCAGAACAGTGCAATTAATATTTAAATAAGCATTCAATTAAAACGAGCGCGCAGCAAGAATATCGTTAATTACTTCATGCTCCTTTATTATTGTATTTCAGACAATTCAAAGATTTCTTCCAAGCAATTGCCGCTAAGAAGAGAATGTTAGTTTGAAAAGGACAAGCAAGAATTTAATTACATAATAAATGTGGACACTGATAAATTTGGGTAATTCATATTTGCAGGGCCTTCCTCTTTTTCTTCGTTCACGCTTCCCTTGAAAAATGACATTAATAATGGGCGGCGATGGGAAGGATTTTCGGTCCAACAGGTGAATCTAATTTCGAATTTTGATAAATTATGAACGCGAATCGCGACAATTATTTTCCGTTTAGCTTCCTTAATCAATATCGGTAATTAAGTGTACGGCTCTAATTAACACGATTTAAATCGGCCGTCCGGGAATTTCGTTACGCAAACATTTGTTCAGCGTATCACGAAAACTGCTAATCGCACGCCAATTAAGTGCACTATCATAATTCAATCTCGAAATGTTCAATAAAGACGTGAGGAAGATCATATTTTTTTTTGATATAACAATTGTAAAATTTGAAATGAATTATTCAACAAATCTTCTGACTGTAAACTAATTATTTTTAGTAATTCTCAATAAAAAATGTTAGAATAAATATAGCTAATTCTTAATTATCGTTTCGTTATCTCATGAATAAAACAGAAAGTTGAAATGTTTGGTTTAAAATCTAATTAATCCTTGAATGTATGGAAATAATCTGCACATATTCATAAAAAGGAATCCTTACCCCACCAATTACGATTGATCTTAGAAAGTCGTATAACCTGAAAATACTACATAGAGAAAACTGTTGGAGATTATCAAAAAATAAATATAATTGTATAGATTTTTTTTAATTACATATTAAGATTTGCTTATTAAACTTAAACTTATTACATACATTGTTTGATTCAGAAATATACTGTTTATATTTAATTCTATAAATGATGGTAACCTTTATGCAATGTAGTTTATGTAACACAAAATAACTAGACAAAGTATATTGTCTATTCGGATCTTCATAGATGAAGAGTTTAATAAGGTCAGGATCGCCTTTCTATGTTTCCAATAGCAGAAAAC